ATTTGTAGGTTTGTTGCTATCACTTGCTTTTCTTACACTATGGAAAGAGTTTTGAGGTCATTTACAGAAAATATGAAGCTATGTGAAATTTCAGTAGCAAACAACAGGCTCCATGTTGCTGAGCCCACCATTGTTCCTGGCTTTGTAATTTTGTGTAGCTCTGAGCAGTAGACAGAAGTGTACAGTTGTCAGAGATCTGGTTCTAAGGTACTGTCAGCATCCCAGGGATGAGTATCCATAACCAAACTCCATAGACAATACAGCTTACACTTATTATATGTCTATTATTGATACTCTCTTAAGAGCTTTATGTCTGCTCATCATCCTGATCATCATCCTTATTAAATAAATATTGTTGTTATGTTAAAGATTGACCTCTAGAAATATAGTTTCTAGGTCACACTGCTTGAAGACATAGAGCCAGGACCCATTAAGACACAATTTGTCTCTGAAGTCTATCATACCACACCCTTTAGTGTTACTCATTGTAAGTAGCCCTTCCAAGGCAGCAAAAAAAAAAAAATATTCTCAGGGTTCTATTGCTAGGAAGAGATACCTTGACTACAGCAACTCTTATAAAGGAAAATATTTAATTGGGGCTGACGTACAGTTTCAGAGGGTTGCTCCATTATCATCATGGCGGGAAGCATGGAGAGATGCAGGCAGACATGGTGCTAGAGAAGGAACTGAGAGTTCTTCATATAGATATGCAGGCAGCAGGTAGAGAAACCACATTAGGCCATATTGAGTCACCTGAGACCTGCCTCTAATGAAACACTTCCACCAACAATGCCCACACCTACTCCAGCAAGGTCACGCCTCTCGATAGTTCTAGTCCCTATGAGTCTGTGGGGCCATTTTCATTGAAACTATCACATAAAGTTTTTGAAAAGCTATTCCAAAAACAGAGTGTAAGAACAGATTTGCATGCATTCATTTATTTAGCTATCCATTTTCACTGAGAATCTACTATGAGTCAACAATTGTCTTGTGCATAAAAGATGAAAGCAGATAATGTCATTGCCCTCATAAAGCTAAACATTTATGTAATGAGACTGATAATATACATACAAGTAAAGAGTAATATACATTGTTATTGTTCTATCTAATTTTTATGTCAACTTGACACAAGCTAAAGTCATCTAAGAGGAGGAAATTTCAATTGATAAAAATGTCTCCTTAAGTTGGGAATGTGGGCAAACCTGGAAGGCATTTTCTTAATTAGAGATTTTTATGGTAGGGCCAATGCTATTGTGGATGAGGCCGCCACTGGGCAGGTAGTCCTAGATGCTGTAAGAAAGCAGACTGAACAATCCTCATGGCCTCTGCATTAGTCCCTGCCTTCAGGTTTGTGCCATGTTTGGGTTTCTGCCTTGACTGCTTCCATTGAGGAACTGTGATATGGAAGTATAAGCAAAATAAACTCTTTCCTGCTTGAGTTGCTTTTCGTCATGATGGTTCATCACAGCTATAGGAACCTTAAGATGGTTATTAAAAGTCAAGTGTTTTGAAGAGTCTGAGATTGTACCCTTCTGAACAAGCTAAGTTAGCCTGTCACAGTTCCATGGACACTGGAAAAAAATGGAAAAATTGGATAGCCATGTGTCTGCCTATCCAAGACTTGGGGCCGTGGACTTTCATGATGTAAGTCAAATCTATTTTATCACAAAGTACACAGAAAAGTGATGAACCCAGACAGATGTCTTTAGAGTATTTCACTCTATTGTATCTTCAAGGTGAGCATCACTTCCCATACAAACTAAGTCTCAGTGGCTTGGAGCTACATTGTAGTTCTAGAAACACACAGGCTTGATTCCAGGCATTGTTCCCAGCTGGACACTATGAGGATATGGTCAAATATTTAAGAGGTAGAACCTAGTAAGAGTTATTTATTTATTTATTTATTTACTTATTTATTTATATGGGTGGTTGACCTACCTGTGTGTATTTCCATGACACATGTGTCTGGTGCCCTAAAAGACCAGAATATGGTATTGGATCTTCTGGAACTGGAATTATAGATAGCGTGGGTGCTTCATATTGAACCCAGGTTCTCTTCAAAAGCAAGCGCTCTTAACCACTGAGCCATGTCTCCAGCCCCTGGGGGCAGTCTTCATTTTAGATGGGTCATGCCTTTCAAAGACAGAAGCCCATCCTCTGCTTCTTCTGCCTCCTGGCCACAAGGTGGGTGGGTGGTTTTACTCTATTACATCTTCCTGCCATGAAATCCCCAAAGTTATAGAGCAAAGCAGTCATAGACTAAAACCACCAAAACTGTGAACTCAAATCAAGCTTTTTTCCATATAAGTTGATTGTCTCTTTAGAAGTTATAGTCTTGAAAATGATACTAATTCCTTTGAAAATTGCATGGAAATGCCAAACTATCTCCCAAAGAAAAGTGCACAAATATATCTAGTCATAAAGTTTTGAGTCACCCAAAGATACCCAGATCCATGCATTAATTCTTGGTTAAACAGTTTTGGGCTTCAGCTCAGTGATAGGATGTATGACCAGCAAGTGTGATGCCCTAAGGTCAAGTTCCAGTATTAAAAAAAAAAACCTTGCATATCCAACCTAATTTGAAACTAAGGGAATGGGATGAGTTTATTAATTCAGAAAAACATAAGCAAGAAAGCTAGAGAAAATATATGTGGAGCCTCTGTGTCAGAGGAGTCATTCAAATGGGAAAAGACCAGAATTTGCATCTCCCAAATTTCTTATAGTTTTTTTTAATTAAGGTAGTATTTAATTTCCCCAGACAAGCCATATGTCTGTTTACAAATAGATATTCAATTCATTTGTTTTTCGGGCATAATAAAAATGTTCCTTTGCCATGAGACCTAAATAATGAAATTAAATTATAACAGAAAATTAGTCTTACAAGTTTAGTGTAAATGTCAGTTTACAATTATACACATCTGCGAATTGTATACATATCTGTGTATATAATTATACACAGTCACATGAAGCAATATGACATTTTCTTATATGTGACTATTAGGCTTTATGCTTTCAATGTGTGTGGGATTTAGAATACCCACAGAGCTTAGATAAGTGCTAAGGCACAGGAGTGGGGGATGAGGGGATCTTTCAAGGATGGGGATAGAGAATGTAGTGTTAAAAATGATATAAAGGAAATGAGCGGTGAGTCTGGAACCTCCAAGGGAGAGGCCAGAACCAGAGACCTCTGCGGGTCTAGGCATGAGTCTGGGACCACTGACGCAGTAGGCCTGATCCAGGACCTCTGCCGGTTAGGACTTGAGTCTGAGACCTCCAATGAAGTAAACCAGAGTCAGAGACCTTTGCAGGACCGGATCCAAGACAGGGACCTCTGTGGGAGTGGAACCAAACCAGGGATATTTACGGAAACAGGTCTGAGCCGGAGACCTAGGTCGGAGCAGGCCTGAGACAGTGAACTCCACAGGAGCAGGTACAAGGGAGCAACTGCTGAGGGAGTAGCCATGAGCCAGAGACCTCTGCAGGTCTACACATGAGTCTGGGACCTCCAAAGGAGTAGGCCTGAGCCAAGACCTCTGTGGTCTGGGCCGGAGTCTGGGACCACCAAGGGAGTAGGCCAGAACCAGAGACCTCTGCTGGTCCAGGCGTGAGTCTGGGACCCCTGAGGGAGTTGGCCAGAACCAGAGAACTCTAATATGGACAACCTTTTTTAATTTTGTTACAAAGTTGTATCATAAGAAAGGACCTTGCCCAGAGGCTCCAACACCCCTGGTCTCTTAAGGAACCTGCGTTTGTGTGCACATACTACCCAGAGGCGAACACATGTACATGCAAATAATTAAAAAGAAATCTTTTACAAAGTCACCCTACAGTGATTATTCATGCCTTAAAGTAGCAAGAACTTGGGCTTACAAGTCATATACAAGGCCAGACATCATGGTACAGGCTTGTCAGTTCAGTATCTAGGAGATTGGAGTAAAAAAGAAAAATGACAAATTTGAGATCAGTGTAATGCTTTGGTGAGACCCTGTCTTAAGGACACACTCCTTGGAATCCATGTTGGGTTCCCAGTTAGAGCTAAAAGTAAAATTAGCAATTGTCAGGAGCAGACATCAAAATTCTCAGATCGTGACTTAAATAGGATTAGCTAATGAGATGAGATAATATGATATCTTACTTCAGGTAAACTTTACTCAAAATGTATTGTAAAGTCATTAGAGAATAACCAAAATAAACCATAAAACTCAGCAACAAAGTAATGTTCAGTAAATTCTCTGAGCAGAAATGTATAATGTAAGCATTAAGAAAGGACCTTGTAAAATAACTATCATGTTTTTGTCAAAATAATATTTCTGTAAGATGGAAGTATATGCATATTTTAATTGAGAAAGAAATATTGGTGGGCTAATGGAAATGCGAATAGGAAAATGTCCTTGGGCAATTTAATTAACTCTTTAGGTTTAATTTCTTAGTTTTAAAATGGAAGTAATAGAAATATCTACTTTAAAATATCATGATGCTTCAGTGATACAATATGATATATAAAGGATGCATGTATCATAGTGTAGGTACACAGGTCCCCATTTTTCCCGAGGCGCTATGCAGGGCTGTTCTGCTTCCTGGTTCCACTGCATCAGCTTGAGGGTGTGGCATAGAACTGCCCTCTCCTGTTATGTTAATATCACCTACGGCCCAAGGGTGTAGCTCAGAGAGAACTCTTCTGTTATGGTAATTCCACCTGCAAGCAAGGTTCTCGCCCGCAGGCAAGGTTCCTGGGTCAGCTTTTCTCTGAGCCTGAGCACGCCCACCTGGCTTCCTCTCTTCTCTATTCAGCTGCTCTCTGACCTTGGGTGCGACCCCCTGACTTTTCTCTTTCCTTGATCCTGATGGGGGGCTGGTGTCTTTTATCCCCACAGTATATATACCCGACTTATGCTTAATAAAGCTGCCATTTGCCACTTGCTCTTGGCAGATGAGCCGGTCTCTTTGTGTGTGTGTCGTCTGTTCAAACCCCTAGGACATGTGTCCGTTCTCGTGGGCTCGAGTCAGGAAAGCGCGCGCCTGTTTCGAGGTTCGGGTGTCCACAGAAAAGTGCGGCAGCTTACAGATGGCGTCCCTCGAGTGGGCATGGCTTTGAATAAGGACTGAAGAACAGCGTTCTGCCGTCTGTGGATCTACCACGAGAAACCCAAAGAGGTAGGGGTTCCCCCACGATCCGGAATCTGGCCAGTGTTGTGATGTGCAGTTGTGCACGTGTGATAAGGGGGTATTGAATGAGTTTGATTTTTAGAAGTATGGGTGCCGAAAGGTCTGATCCAGAGCTGAAGGCCAGTGGGCAAATCAGCTGCTAAAATTTCGTAAAGAGACTAGGTACCAAGATTAAGATGACACAGCTCAAGAGACTGTTTAGACTATTTTAAAACTCAGTCCCTGACTCTCACATGCAGGGAACTTTAATTTTTGCCAAGGAGGACAGGCTGGGCGCAGCTAGCCCCCGGCTAAAATCCGTTCCCAAGGTTACAGGACCCAGGACCCAGCTTAAGCAAGCACGCTAACAATAGCCGATGGCCACGTAACTGCGGGCCTCGGGCTGAGAAAATATTCAAAGGTGTGTTTAACAATTCTATTAAAAGTTTTTGAGTAACAAAGACAAAAGAACAAAAGAGAGAGAGTTTTGACAAAATAAGAGAGCACAACAGCCTTGAGCCCCAAGCCGTAGATGGAGTTGGGTATTACCACCAGCTAATGAGCTACATGCTAGGCGGAATGTGATCCACCTGCGTGGAGGCCGACAGACCGTACAGGGTCCATACACGGGACTCTGGCAGGCTGCGCGACCGCGGCTGGCAACTCTAGGAGTCCCAGGAAACTGGCGGCCAAGGCGTGAAACACCGCGATGCCAAAAGGTGCCTGCCACAAATGGATGGGCTAAGGGCAGGTTTACATCGGAGGCTGTAAGTAATGTTATGTGAGGCTCAGAGCGGCGCCAACAGAGCAAAGGCTGCGCACGCCCATGACTAAGGCCGGGCCAGACTCAAATGCCTTTAAGCTGACAGAGGCCACGAGCCTACAGTTTTCTGACAGGCAGTTGCTACCTTTGGGCTAGCTCAAAAAGCTCGCCATAGCTGGAGAGCTGCTTCAGCAGGTTGCCGCTTCAGCAGGTTGCCTGTATCCTAGATAACAAAGGACCTATAGCCTGGGGCAATGGCAGACAACGTTAAGGCTGCTAGCTCAAGGATTTTCCATCTCAACAGAAAGCTAAGAAGTGGGTTAAATCTAGCCGTCAAAGCCACGGGTCTCCATATTGCTTAGTAAATTAAAGGCTTATGTAGTCAGAAAAAAAAAGATATACAGTAAAGAGAGATTCTAAGAGGGAAAAAACCTCTAACTGGGTTAAAAATATATGCAGGCTAAAAGTTAAAGTTCTTTAAGGAAGAGAATAGTTGGGTGTGGTAGTACACACCTTTAATTCCAATGCCTGGGAGGCAGAGACAGATCTCTGTGAGTTCTGGGTGTTGTAGCACACGCCTTTAATCCTAGCATTGGGGAAGCAGAGACTGTGGAACTCTATGAGTTCACGGACAGCTTGGTCTACAGAGTTATTCCAGGACAAAGATGTACGTTTGAGGAGCTTATCTACAAAGAATCATAACTTCCCTCTGCTCCTGGAGTTGGATGAGGAAGTTTGAGTGCAGGTGATTGTTCCTTGATCCCTACTGGGGCAAATAAAGGTTGTATACACGTGATCAGTCCTTGACCCCTGCTGGGGTCAGGTGAGAGTCCCTCCGTGGCTCTCCATTTGGTGCCATGGTAAAAAGCTAGCCCCAGCAGAGCAATAAGCAAGCTGCTGTTTCTCCTCAACTTCATGCTCTATGGATTTCATTCAACCTGGACACCCTCCGCCGAGACTCGTAGACGAGATCGGAAAGATGAGGATCGTGGACTGGGTCATCCTGTTGTGTGGCCAGGATGCATTGTGGATTGAGATATAATTAAATAAGAGATAATTACAAAATGGGGAATACCCCGGGTAAATCAGAGTTAAAGAGGTTGTTGTAAGAAACAGTTGTCTGGTTTTAAATCTAATGTTTTCCTTTCTAAGGAAAGGTTGCTTACACATTTTTAGAGGGCTCCAAGCTAGGAGCGGGAGAACTGGTTTTCTCAAATTTTTGGAACCATAGTTCAACTATACCAGATTCAAAACAATCTATTTAGGACCTAAAGAGGTATAGCTAAATTTTGAAATGGTATGTTGCCTAATTTTCTAAAATCCCAGACTGTACCAATTTACATTTCCACCAATCGTGGAAAGGTTTCTCTTAAGTGTAAACTATGAACAATGGTTGATCTTGGTCATGTCATTTAAAATAAGATAGTCTCAAAAGTTATTTTGATTCACAATTCTCCTATGGTTAAAGATGTCATATTTAAGAATTTTTTAAATATCTTTCAGTCATTTTTAAGTTTGTCTATTGAGAGTTTTCAGTTTAGATCTGTTACGTATATTTTAATTTCATTAATTGTTCTTTGGAGGACTATTTCTGGAGTCCTAATGTTTTCTGTATGGATTGATGACTGACAAAGATTTCCACATCTGTAGCCAGATATGTCGATCCTATTAATTATTTCTCAAAATGTTGGCGGGAGGCAATGTGCCCCCATAAAGATAACAATTTAAATAATTCTATCCAGTTATGTAAGTGCTCACATACTGGGTCAGATAATTATTTTCTGCCCCTGGAAAAGTTCCAGGCAAACTAATTCTAAAGGATGTTTTGGGGTTCGCTATGCAGCCCAATATTTAGGCCGGTTGCAGTGGCACAGGCCAATAATGTTTGCTCTTTGGAGCAGAGACCTGTAGGTCTCTAAGTTCAAGACCAGCCGACGTCAATACTGGCTGAGCTAAGTTTTGTTCTGAGTATTTGTTACTTCCAATATGTAACATGGTCCAGTTCATGCATTAATTTGGGGTAGAGGAGCTGTTTATGTGTTTCCACAGGATGCAAAGCAATCCATTTGGGTCCCTGAATGTCTGGTGCAGACCGTGGATTCCTCTATTCAGAGACCTGAGGACAAGGCGAGATCAAGAGACCCCGCGGGTGCGGCAGAGGCGGCGAGGAAGATGGCAGATTCCTGAGAGATGATCCAGCCCCTGCCTTTGCCCCTTTCCCAGCTTCTTATCTTTGCTTTGCCTTGATCTGCCTGTTTAGCCAAGGCTGCTCTACCCCTGAGGGGAAGCAGCTACTTCCCCTACCCTAGATTGCAGCATTGAGTACTCGCGGCGAGAACCCTGCAGGTCAGACAGAAATACCACGGACATTCAAATTAATTTAAATTCTCGATTGGATGCTTTTGTTGGTCTTTACAAACTGGGTGTGGATTTTGACCTCTGCTGGTCGCTGGTTAGGATTTTGCTGCTTTTCTCGGGACCCCAGAATACAAATTACTAATTGGCTTTAATTTAGTATGGTTAGTCATTCCAGGGGTTCCATTTGCCGGTGCCGTAGCCTTACTCAAAAGAGCTCTATTCAGAGCAAAACGTTTCAGACACTGTGCAAGCACAGTCTCTTCCAGAATTGCCCATGTGTATGCTGGAACATTTTCACCTGGCCAGTGGCTTCAGGTCCGCCATGGCCTGGCCCTAGTAGGCATTCGTCTCGGAACATCTTTCAACATAAATATGGCTGGATTCAATGTATGACTAGTAAGCAATGACGGGTTTATTGCACGGGGGGG